TGCTGAGCAAGCACAAGGTCCTGAGTTCAATTCTCAGTACCAAAACAAAAACTACCAACTAAGAAAAGCCCAGGACCTAATGGGTTCACAGCTGAATTCTACAAGAACGTCAGGGAAGATCTAACACCAATACTCCTCAAATATTTTAATGAAATTGAGAGGGAGGGAGTGCTTCCAAAATCATTCTCAGAAGCTAACATTATCCTCATCCTAAAACCAGACAAGGATCCAACCAAAAAGGAAAATTAACTATAAGCCAATTTCTCTAATGAATATAGATGCAAAAATCCTTAACAAGATTCTGGCAAACAGAATGGGACAAATTAGCAAAAAGAGTATACACCATGACCAAGTAGGCTTTATCCCAAGGGATGCAAGGACTGTTCAACACATGCAAATCAATAAATGTAACTCGTCATATAACAAAAGCAAGGACAAAAATCACATGATCACCTCAATACATGCAGAAGAACCTTTGACAAAATCCGACATCCATTTGTGATAAAAACCCCGAATAAACAGATATAGAAGGACTTTATCTAAACATGATAAAAGCCATTTTCGACCAACCTATTACCAATATTGTATTAAATGGGAAAAAGCTAAAAGCCTTCCCTCTAAAATCAGGAACAAGATTAGAATGTCCATTATCACCACTCCTGTTCAACACAGTCCTCAAAACATTAGGCAGAGTAATCAGGAAAAAGAAAGAAAGAAAAGAGATACATACAGTAAAGGACAAAGTGAAAATACTACTATTTGGAGATGACATGATCCTTTACTTATAAGACTCAAAAGCTCCACCAAAAGACTCCTAGAATTGATAACCAAATTTAGCAGTGCAGCAAGATACAAAATAAACGTATGCTGTGTGATTGCTTGATGCCTTGTTTTTCTATGGTCCAAATGGCAGCCAATGTAGATATTTAAATAAAAAATTCATTGGGTGTCTCACTAACCATATTTCAAGGGCTAAATTCACTCCAAATGTAGCATTGCCAGGCAGTGTTAATACAAAACATGTCCATCACTGCAGTACATTCTATTCAACAGCAAAAACTCCATGAAGACATGAACCTTCCATGTGGCAACTTAGTACCTCCCACATACACACGGGATAAAAGAGCAACAGCCAATGTTTTGCATGAGGAGAACCAAACAAAACTGGTTTATAGGCCTACAGCATGTTTATGCAGGGTGTACTGTGCATGAAGCATGCATGTGGAGAGAGTTCACAAGGACTGTAGACTCTCAAAGACAATCAGAATAAAAAGTTAAAATTCCCCAAAGTAGCAAAGAATTCTATGCTAAAAGGCAGACTTTCCTACCCAGGTGAGGTCCATCGAAGAACAACATGCACCTCATCAGCCAGGAATTTGTTTGAAATGCTGAGTCTGAGTAACTTCAGCAACAATACTGAACTAGAAGCTGTTATTCAACAGGCAATTCTAATGTACATTAATATACAAGAAGCACCAGTCTGTCTCTATCCTACTAGATTAAGAAATTCTCTCTCACTCAGAATTTCTAAAAGCACTATGTACAGCTGCATGTGAATCTATAATCTCAATAAAAATTTCAATTAAAAAGATGGCTGGGGGTATAGCTCAGTGGTAGAGTGCTTAACTAGCATGCTTGAGGCCCTAAGCCATCCCCAGTACCCCCAACTCCCAGAAAGAAAAATGAAGTGTTTAAGCTTTGAATCTTATTTTTTTCAGGACACCTTCCCCCTCCAGCCTTATACTATAGAAAAATACCAAACATACATAATATTCATGGTTTCACATACATAAAACACACATCACTATGAAAAGTGAGACTTAAACACAGATATAGGAAACCCCAAGAGTACATTTTAGTAATAATGTTTAAGCAGCAGGATTAAGTGATATGCTGCTATGGCAAAAAGTCTGAATATGAGAGAGTAATTCTGACCATTCAATGAATCTATATGAAGCAAAATCATCTTCAGTGTAAACTAGGTCTCACATTTTTCAGAAGTGTGTTACAACACTCATCTCCTAGTTTGTGTTGTTTTTCTTTTTCTTTTGCAGTGCTGGGGATGGAACCCAGGGCCTCTCCCATGTACTCTACCTCTAAGGTACATCACCAGCCCGTTTTTTTTTTTTTAAACAATCTACAGTTCTTCAAAAAAGAAATAACCAGTCCAGTAACTGTAATGTCAATGCATTTTAGACACAAAATTTGTTATTTCTGATGCAGTTCCCAGTTGGAATTTTTACCTCCTTTACTCCTTACTTACAAAATTAGGTTTGATGAAAAATTCAAGTTTCTCTAGGTGCTTAGGATTATGCACTATTTACATTTACTATGTTTCTATGTATCTGCTTCAATTTCTACCATAACCTTTTATATATGACTATTACAAAAACTTATTTTAAAATAAAATTTTCATTAAAAAATGGAGTAATTGAGAAAAGTACTGAAAACTGTATTTTTCAATTAATTTTTTTCTTCCTATTAAGCTGCATGTGGAGAGGTTAAAAATACAACGGTAAAAGACAAAAAATAAAATGTTAGAGGAAAAGGCATAATTCTGAGCGTCTAACAAACAAAAAGATTCTCCCCAATGGGGTTTGCTCACCTGAGTTTTCAGCCCCTTTGAGAACTGGATTTTGCAGGTAATCCAGTATGGCAGACATTCCTCTGGTGAACCCAGACGAGTCACATCCCTGTTGTAGCTTCTGCCCTGGAATACGGGCAGAATGTGTGATTTGCTTCAAATCAAAGATGGCAAAAGTGATAGGATGTCATTCTTACAACTACAAAATGTGATATATGACTCTAAATTGGCAGAGACGTTTCTCTCTGGGGCAAGAGATTCTCCTGCTGCCTTTGACCAGGCTGCCATGTTCTAAAAAGATCTATGCGAGGTTCACCTGGCAAGAAACTCTGGGAGGTAGCCAGCTGACTTAGTGGTGACCAGTGGTCAACAGGAAACAGGAACCTCAGTTGGACCAACAGCAAGGAACTAAATCCTGCCAACAAACACACATCCCTGGAAGAAACTGCCAAGCACCAGGAAACAATGCAGCCTTACCTGACAGTGATTACAGGTCTGTGAGACCCAAAGAGAAGACCCAGTTAAGGCATGCCCACATTCCTGACCCACAGAAATGTGAAACAATCAGTGTATGCTATTTTAAGCTATTACATTTGTGGTTGTTACTTAAAAAAAGAAAACATTTGGTTATTGTGTAGCAACAGACACTTCCCTAAGAACTAACCATATGCTAATTATTGGAATTGACTTATCTTTTCCTTCCAATATGGAAATACATTTTTAAACCATAACAATGTCTGCTCTCTTAGAGACACTCGTATTTTGGATTTTAAAATCTTAGTGAATTTTCCAATGTGGATTTCCATGTTTTGTGCCATATTCTCACCTTGTTTCTCTCTCTCAACTCCATCTTCTATCCTTTAAAAAGTAGATGTTCACAGTAGAATCCCTCTTGTAACAAGCTTCCCATGGCCAGATTACTACTACTGCTTGAAGTCCAACAACTTGAGGAAAAGCAGTAAATTGAGCAGAGGTATTTTCTAACCTCAAGCTAAGTATAGTTAAAAAAAAAAAAAGGAATGGGCTTTTCACTATCAATCTCTCTACCAGCTCTCTCCAAGTGTATTAATAAGTGTTGAGGTGGCCATATAAGGTTATAGTTACTGTATTTCATGTCAGATAAAGCAATGCAAGATTTTGAGAGTGAATTTATTGAAATTAGTTAAGAGAAAGCAAAGATGCGGTAATCAGAGAAATTGGACATCGTTCAGCATAAAATACAGGGAAAAGTAAACAAAATGTCATCAATTCTAGTCATTTATTAAAGGATGGCCACACTAGTTTTGCCATACACGTGTGAAGTTCTCCCTTTCCCATCCCTGACTTATAGGCCATCAAGCCACTTTCTTATCTTTAGTTTGGCATCCTAGGTATTTCAAACTCAGGAAGAAGTCTGGACAGGTGACACACGTATTCCAATCCTTAAAGAAGACAGTGTCCCACTCAGTGCAAACTGAAAATTTGTGCCTGTTTTGCAATAGTTATACTGTGATTAACACCCAAAACACACTGAGGACCAAGTCCTGAAATAGCAAGGCTCAGACCAAGGGCCTCAAAAGATCCATCCGAGCCCTACTGCTAATACGGTAACTCTGAAACAGCTCCTGACATCCAAACATAGTGTCTCTAAAACCCCTCTAAACATAACGAGAGAAAACTAGCATATAAAAATAACTTTCTTTGGGCTGGGGATTTAGCTCAGTGGTTCCACCGCCTGCCTCACAAGCACAAGGTCCAGGGTTCAATCCCTGGTACCAAAAACAAACAAAACAAAACCAAAAAAACCCTTTCTTTTTACAAATATCTCCAAAAATAGTATCATCTCCATAATTGAATGAATCACTATATTTCACTGAAACTAAGACACACAATTTACGTATACAGAAAAACCTGTCGACTAAAATTGTCATATATTAAATAGTAACTGATTGCAAGACATACCCCATTTTAGACATGTTAAAAAAGTATGAGATTCAGAAAACAAAAAGTATGGGAAAAAGGTATATCTTAGGAGCAATGAAATACAGCACCCACAATACTTCTTTAAATACTCATTCAAAGAAAACACTATATCATATTAAATTGTCATGAATTCATAATTAATAGCACTCTCATAGAGCTTTTTATCATTTTTGTTACACAGGTCATTTAAAATTGAAGAATGGAGCCAGGTGTGGTGGCTCACGCCTGTAATCCTAGCACTCAGGAGGCAGAGGCAGGAGGATTGCCTCCAGTTCGAGGCCAGCCGAGATACATAATGAGTTCAGGGCCAGCCTGAACTACAAAGTGAGACCATCTCCAAAAAAAAAA